GGCGCGGGCCGGCCACGGGCGCAGGGGCCGGAGCCGCTGTAGCCGCAAGCCGCTGCACGTGGACTTTAAGGAGCTGGGCTGGGACGACTGGATCATCGCGCCGCTGGACTACGAGGCGTACCACTGTGAGGGCGTTTGCGACTTCCCACTGCGCTCGCACCTTGAGCCCACCAACCACGCCATCATTCAGACACTGCTCAACTCCATGGCGCCCGATGCGGCGCCGGCCTCCTGCTGCGTGCCCGCGCGCCTCAGCCCGATCAGCATTCTCTACATCGACGCTGCCAATAACGTGGTCTACAAGCAGTACGAGGACATGGTGGTGGAGGCGTGCGGCTGCAGGTAGCATGCGGGCCGGGCCGAGCCTGGGAGGGGCAGCCGCGCCGCCGCCGAGGACCCCCTGCTGAAGAGCAGCTTCGGGCCGGGCCTGTCACCCAGCGTGGGTGCGCGGCGGGACTCTGGCCCGGTGCCAGCACGGAGGAGGGAGAGCGCACGTTCGGTCACACCGGCATTCACACCCACACACTCGTTCACTCTTGCACACGTTTGCCGTGGACTGCATCGGAGAGCCCTGGAAGAGATGCTAGCGAATGTCACAGCCATGTGCACTCTGCAAACAGCACTATTTGCGCCCATTACCCGCTTTGGGGAGAAGATGGTGTTTGTATTAATGTTACAACAACAGCCACTAAATCGGGTGGAAACGGGTTAGGGAATTGGGGGCTCTAGAGTGAGTGAATTAAAGGGGTACTTGCGTGAGTTCCGTCTCAACCCCTTTTGTTTTTGGCCGAGTGTGGGCGCGGCCGGCTGGGGGCCTGAGTTCCTGGTGTTGCACCTGGTACCGACCCGTCGGCTGTAATACCCTCTCCAAGGTTTGCGTGGCGCCGAAGCCGTTCACTCTCGGAAGGAACCGCTGCAAAAGGCCTTATCTGTTTTCTTTGACTTTTAAAATCCAATGGCCCCTCAGTTTTGAAAGGGAACATTTGTCAGAAAGAACGCATTGTGGAGCTTCCCAGATCTCTGCAAAGGTCAGCACTATCCTTTTTAACAAATCAGTTCCATTTAGAAATGATCTAGAATGTAAAAAAAAAAACAAACCATTTTTCTTTTGTGGGGGAGAGGAGTGAGATGGGGGAGAGGTTTTAAACTGCCAGTCCGATCTGACATGAAACTGGGGGTGGGTGCATCTGCCAGGTTGGGAAACTCCTTAGCTGGCAGTGCCAGGTGGTGGCAGTGGCTTGGGGAGCTCAGGAGGAAGCCATTGCAGTGGCTGGGAATGGGGAAAGGGGGACGCGATGGCTCTTCCTAGAGACCTGTGGAGAGGTTTTCCTAAGGAGCTGCCTAAGAGGCTCCTGGGGCTCGCAAGAGGCAAGGAGGTGTCCCGGGCAGGCTCCTTCAGACGACTCAGGCCTGTCCCTCTCATGGCACTTACTCAGAGTGGGCCAACATGTGCTTGTGCTTAGCTATCAAGTCTGTGTCGGCTTTTACATGCTTTGCCTGTGTTGTTGCTGTAGTTTTTGGCAGTGTGATAGTAACGGAAAATGAGGCCACACAAAAGTGCTTTTGTGAGCTTTCGGCTCCCCATAGCCCAGTGGTTAAGAGCAGAAGGAAGGTCGGCTCCTCTCCTTCTCGCTCTATAGAGGGGCATTTGCAGCTCAGCTGCTATGGCCCCTTCAGAAGGGCCAGGCCTGGGCATGGGGGAGCAGCACTGGAACCCTATCCCCCAGTCCCCCTATTTTGCCTCAAAGAGTCTTGTTGATGGTAGGATTGTTCGTCCATGTGAAAGGAAGCTTGAACATGCCAGCTTTCATAGCTTTGTTTGGTTCATTTCTGCCCTGTAGTCCTTTGTGGCCTGTGTAAATGGTTGGGAGAGAGAAGGAAGAGAAGTAAGTTGAGGTTCACCTGTCTGGGGCTCCCAATGATTCTTTGAAAACCCCTGCAGCTCTCCTGGGTGCTCTTGTTTAAGGTTGTGCTGCGCCTTCTCCGGTAGGGTTCCTGAGAGGCATTCATTCTACTCATCTTGTCTTGGATGCTAAGGTTTAAGACCAGTTACACAAATTTTAATTCTCAGTGATTATGAGAGAGGGAGGGAGACAGGAAGAGAGGAAGGGA